AAAAAAAAGGGCGGTGCCTATGGCTCAAAGGGGTAGGGCACCAGAGGTGGCGGGTTCAAACCTAGCCTTGGCCAAAAAAAAAAAAGAAGAAGCTAGGTTCAAATGTGCCACCTTGCTTAGGTTTCGGAAAGGATATAGACCCCAGGAGAGCTCCCATTCTGGAGATGTTCCTTCTCACAGTCTCCAAGCAGCTTCTAAAGTTAGAGTCAGGCTTTGAGAGGATCCAGGTGCTTTCTCTGTCCTGCACTGCACGATTCCGCAGTGGGAAAGTGGACCACAGATAGACTGTCACTCACACCCTACCCACAGGGCGGAGTCGCTCCCAGCTCCTGCTTCATCCCTGCTTGTGTCCTTCTCCCTCCTAGATTCTGAGGCTTCCTGTCACTTTTCTGTTGAATTCCTCCATTCTGTCTTGGATAATACGCTCAGAAGGTGATTGTCTGGATGCTATTCTGGTTCTTCTAAGTGGATAAGCCATGCCCGAAATGCTTCTAGTCAGCCATGGCAGTGGTGGTGGTGAGGGAGGCAGCAGCAGCGGCCTCAGTACGGGCCTGAGGTGCGCAATCGGACTGCACTGCAGAGACCCACATGTGTACTGTTCTAAGGCACTAAGTGTGTTGTAATTTCTTATAGGAGCAAGAGAAAACTAATAGCGCTCTAACAAAAACCTACACATCCAGAAGTAGCTTCGGAAATAAACCATGGGGAAGAAGCAGGAAAAAGTTTAAGGAGCATATTAGAAAAACCGTACAGGGGTTTCCCTGAGCAGGGCTACGAGCAGAAATATGAATATTAACATCTCTGACAGGGGCGGAGCAAGGTGGCTCAGGTCTGTAATCCTAGCTCTCTGGGAGGCCGAGGAAGGTGAATTGCTGGAGCTCAGGAGTTCAAGACCAGCTTGAGCAAGAGCAAGACCCCTTCGCTATTAAAAATAGAAAAACTAGCTGGGCATGGTGGCCTATCATCCCAGCTCCCGGGGAGGCTAAAGCAGGAGGATTGCTAGAGACCAAGAGTCCGAAGTTGCTGTGAGTTATGACTACACAGGACTCTAACCAAGAGCGCAGAGTTGAGGCACTGTCTCAAAACAAAACAAAAGAAAAACTCTGACAGGGAGGACTCAGAAATAAGTGAGGAATATGGTAAAAAAAAAATTACAAATCGGCAGCGCCTGCGACTCAAAGGAGTAGAGTGCCAGCCCCATATACCAGGGGTGGCGGGTTCAAACCTGACCCCAGCCAAAAAAAAAAAATTTACAAATCGGGGTGGCGCCTGTGGCTCAAAGGAGTAGGATGCTGGTCCCATATGCCGGCGGTGGCGGATTCAAACCCAGCCCTGGC